ATTTGGATCGGAGCTGACACCGAACGACGCCGTTTAATTTTCTCATGAATTTTCTCTCCGTTGTTCTTCATCTTCTTAGGTACTTCTTCTTCCACTCTAATTTTATTCTCACCAATTGGTAAAAACGAATAATTAGTTCAGTTTGAGCTTAAATAAATTAAGATCTTCGGATAAATTCACTGCGTGTGGTGTGTATTTGTGTGTGTTTTTTAACCTTTTACTTCGGTCTTTTACTCTTTTTTTTCTTTAATTCTCTTTTTCTCTTTCCCTTCACGCCGATGAATTCGCGATATTTTATGTATCGTTTTGGATATTTATTTCTTATAATTTCTGCTGGTTTATTTGTGTTGAAATTAAATGTTCCTCAATTTGTGATGCTGGAAAAAACCCTAAAAAGCTAAGCGGTGGAATTTGACGTGTACTGATATATTCTCCTACCTGATTTTTGAAGTTATTAATGCCAGATTTATTTATTTTAAATAATTTTTTATTTTGTTGAAGATAAACTCTTGTTGTTCAATTAATTAGTGCGTAAATTGCTAATTACCATTTTACCAAAAATATTAAGCCTATAGATCAGATTTATTTGACCATTTATGTATATTCTTAATACAAATGTTGCAAAATTAGGGTTTCTTTTTCGTAAATGTTGTTATTTTATGTGCCAAATCAGTTCGTATACATATAATCTCTCTCAGTTTCTTTCTCATTAATTAATAATCTGAGATTTAGGGTTTTTTTTACGACTTTTTTTTTTGGGATATATATTTTGCTTGATGTATGATTTTAACCTTTATTAATCTTTAAATATGTAAGTAATGTCATGATAATTTGATTACATGCATAGGTAAAATCTTACATTTCTTCAGCGGGGTAACTGTGTATAACCCATAGATTTAATGCGATGGAAGAGAATCATCGTGGGACTGATTCCAAGCCTGCAGAAAAGTTCATTCAGATTGACTCTATATTTATTGATCTATTTAGCAGCTCCGATGGTGAAAGTGATGATCCGAAGTGTGAACGTTTCTCCATACGGTAAGCGCTAACGCTTCACTACCATAAACATGTGGTTATGTCAATGTGTAGTTTTTTTTCCTGTTGTCACGGTGATTAATTATGTATCTGAGATTTAATATCCTACAAGTTTTCTTGACGTAGAGATGTCTTAACTAGTGAGTTATGTTGCACTCGTCACACCAATTTTTGTAGGATTTTTATTTGCGCTATATAGCGATATATAAGTTGTAAAAATGACAGCACTGGTCTACGTAGTATATTATTGATATAAGTGGCGTGTTGTTTCACTGCTCAACATAACTGAGTTACTGACTACAGAATGTATAATCTCAGCTAAGTGTGGGGTAGCTGTCCTTTTAGGGAAAACTGCATTTATTTTCCTTACTGAATCTATATATCCATGTGACAGTGGTTATGTATCTGATATGCACAAAAAGGATTGGAAGATATGTTGGCCATTTTCTGATTTTGATGATGTCCATAAGTTGGATAAGCTTATACTCCGGCTCTCGCCCGTACATGATCCGAGTTTTGACTGGCGGGATGTCAGAATTCATCGGGAAGAGAATTCTAATAAAGGGGCAGCAGAAGGTTTCGTCTATGATAGCTGCCACAACCTCAGAAGCTTCTTGAGTGCTTCTCCAAGAGCTCTAAAACATGTTGTAATCAATGGAAGAACAATGGTTGAGAATGCTTCTAATTTTAGTTGCCAACCGTCAAGTTGTGGTGAGAAGGAAAGGAAACTTGAAGTTGCAGACAACAGTACTGGTAGACTTTTTTCTCCAAATTTTCTTTTTCGCTTATCTTTATTTTTTACACATCCATGAGATTGGCTCAAAAGACATAAGTAGACATCCGATATATACTACTGATATGTGATGACTATAGCAATGTTGGAACTAGCTGATGATTATTTCATGGATTCGAAATATATTTATTCTTCTCTAGTAAGATTGTGGCATCTCTCTTCTGCTTGAATTTCCCTTTGAAAAGGCTTCTCTTGTTCTCAATATCATCTCTGCGGAGTCGTACAATTTACCGCTCCTCAATATACATGCTGCAAAATACATGTCTTTTGTGTTGCATTTGTGTCAAATAGTACCTTTTTCCTTATCAAGCATTTGTGTTTTGCTATAATCAGAATATTTTTGGTATCTGAAACAGTTGCTCTTATATCACAAAGTGAGCCAGGTTGTGCTAGTCATGAAGTTACTGATATTGAGCCTGTTAACAGAAATCTCAGAGTAACTGAGGAAAGCCCTGCAGAAAATCTTCTGACCGGGAAACAAACTCCCGCGGATCATCTAAAAGAACAGTTAACCCTTCTGGTACTGGAGAATGACAGTACGGTAGATGTAGACCGAGCTTATCATGTCACTAAATTTCAAGAAAGTACAGATATTTCCATGGAATCAAATGAAAGCACCTTTGAATCATCTGAAAGTGCTGACGACACAGTTGGAAGCAGTCTGCATCATTGTCATCTAGAAAAGTTACCCCGTCGAAGAACCCCAAAGATGCGTCTACTGACTGAATTGCTAGGAGGACATGGAAATATGAAGAAGGATAAACATGTTGAAAGTTCTCCATCCGTTGGGACTCCCGAGTCATCCGCAGAGGCAGATGCAAGGTATGCTTCCAAATGTCAGATAACGTTACAGGAAAATGTTTGGCATTCAGGTCGTAAAAAGGAAAGGAGGTTTCCCCGGAACGGAAAGTGCAAGCATCAAGAGATCCCCTATTCTTCCAGTGTGGATAAACAAATTCAAACATGGAGGGAGGAGACAGAAAACTCTGTTTCTAGTTTAGAAACTGAAAATGCTCTTTCAGGAACAATACAAACCAAAAAGGGCCTTTGGAGCAGCTACAAAATGGACGGAAATAATACTTTAGCTAAGAAGAAAAGTAAAAAGTTCCCAGTGGTTGATCCATACTCAGTGTCCTTACTGCCACCTAAAGGTAAAGATCAAAATGAAACTTGGGCGACACCGACAACTAAATATAGAAGCGATAAAGAAGCACTGGATAGTGCTGCTGTTATAGCACATCGCAACGAACTTTCTAGCAGAACTCCACATCCAATATCTTTGAATGCCATGGAGTCTAAATCTAGCACAACTAAGAACCCAAATTCAAGCAAGGAGCCTATGATTGTTGAAGGGTCTGGTACTGTATTTCCTTGGGATGGTGGAATGATTAATAAGAGTTCAGTTACACAGAAAGATATGCAGACTGTAGCTAACACTTTTCAATATGCGAATTCCCGAAACAATGAAAGGGAGTTGCATCTTTCGCCCAATAACTATTTCAATCCACAAAGGGATCACAAAGGAATCAGTCGTCGAGGAGAAAATGAGCTGCCTACTTCACTGCCGGAGCAAGAGGACCCTTCCAGAGTAATTAAATTTAGGAGGAAAGATATCAAAAGAAATCATCTTGGAGACCTAAATCCTCCTTATGAAGCTTCAGATGTTTTCTATGGACAAGGAGTATATAGTGTGCTGAATAGTAAAATTGCCAACTTGAGAATGCCTCTTCCAAGACAAAACGTGGAGCCTGACACAGATAATGGTTGGTCGCAGCTGCAGCAAAAGGTATCTGCTCTTCAATTTTATGGTCGTCTCCGGGTAAATATGACTTTACTTTTAGATTATAATGAACATGCATTAGAAATTTAGAGCATGTCTAATGTGTGTTTGTAGTGGACCTTTCCATTTGAGAAGTGACATGTTAAAATTTTTTTTCCATAAAATCATAAACATACTAGAGGTAATTGCTAATTATAGGTATCAGGAAAATTCAACCCATCTAGGCATCTTTGATCTGGAAAATGTGTGCATATCTAGAACTATATTTGAACACATATCATATACCTGTGAAATCGTCTAGAAAGCAAGTTTATATGGGGATTTGGTGTGTGTTTGAATTAAACACATACATGAAGTCGTCAAATTAAGTGTCATTGTTGAATTAACTGCCATGAAGCCTTGGTCATGAAATAGAACATTTTAAATCTCCAAGAAAGTGAAATTTCTGGCACTGTCCCTTCTTTATCACTCCTCCACCTCCAAGAAAAGGAGAAAGTGAAAAATCTTATTTCCTCTGGAGTCAACAAGAAGTGATGGACTTAATGGAAGTTCTATTTAATGAGCCATTAGTGATTACTGAGTTTAACTATTGTTCACTTTGTTCTTTTCTGTTTCTCTATTTCTCCTTTTGTGTGTGTGTCCAAAGTCTATAATGAGTGCTTCACTGAATTCCATTTCTTGCATAAAATTTATGAGCAGGATATATACAGTGGAAGCAATAGTAAGAAAACTATTGAAGCTCAGGAACCTTTGGCTTCAATGAAAAGACAGATTAACCAGAGAGTGGAAGCATCTGATTCTGGAACTTGCGATGACATCCCCATGGAAATCGTCGAACTAATGGCAAAGAATCAGTATGAAAGGTGTCTTCATGATGCTGAGAATAATAAACATCTTTTGGAAACAAGCAATTTCTCAAGGACTGGTCAAGTGAATAATTATGGTGATATATACAGAAATGGGAGAGGATCATTACAGAAGTCTGAAAATCATAAACAAAAAGCTCAGGCAAGGAATGGAGGAAACGCTGCAATTTGTGCAGGAAAAGTTTTGGAAGCCAAGAAACAGAAGCCAGCAGATTATTTCTCAAATATTGGGGAATCTCACTTCAATACAAACCACCTGCAGCAGACTTGTATGCTCGGGCATAATGCTTCGATTCATTCTCAAGAGAAACCATCAAGTGGTATTCAATTTTCTTCCATTGGATCCAAAAGACAAAGTTCTACTGAGAGTAGAAAATGTAATGGAACTATACTGGAATCAGTTCCATATAACTCCAAAGTACAATCTTTTGGAGGATGCATAGATTATCCACCTGTTTCAGAACAGAATATGGAAGCACCTCACAGATGGTCTTCTTCTCCTATGATGCCGGATCATCTGCCCCATGGATACCAGAGATTTCCAGCTCAGTCGACCGACAGAGAAAAAATCTCAAGTCCTAGATCGTTGCCGATTGGAAATGCAATCACGCAGAATTATCATATTCATCACCCTACCAACCTAGAAAAGCATGGTAGGCATTACAATTCTGAAGCATACAGCCAGAATTTTGCAGAGGGCTCATTTTGCTGCCATCCTAATGTGGTCGAGCTTCATCAAAATCTGGTTGGTTCACTGGAGTTGTACTCTAACGAAACAATACCGGCAATGCACTTGCTTAGCCTTATGGATGCAGGAATGCAATCTAATGCATCCATCACTGCAAGTGGCAAGCATAAGTTCTCCAAGAAACCTCGAATTCCCCATCCCCTAAAAGGTAAAGAGTTTTCTGGGATGGATATTCGTTTGGATGAGACCGTTCAGGCCATAAACTATTCTTCATCTGTTTTTCATGGTGAAGTTCCAAGTAAATCTCATTTCCGTTCTCCCGCTGCTCCAGTAATTGGTGCATCTGCTTGTACCTTCCAGGATAGTAGAGGATTTGGAAGCAATACCCATTTCGCAGGTCAGGCTGTCTTTAAATCTCGAAACAGAGGGAAAATAAAATGCTCAGATCAATCCACATGGAGGAAAGGCCAAAAGCTACCAAAGTCTCTATTCAGAAGTGGTGGTTTAGGCACAGATGATAGAACATTTCCAGTTAATGGTATTCAGAAAGGTGTGGTATGTGCATCTAATTCCGAAGTGCTTGAGTTGGCGCATCACATGGAAAGAAACTCTGAGGAATCCGAATTGATAGCCCGAACTAAAACTCTGCAAGACCTGCAAGACCAGAAAAGCACTTTTGAGACTGAAATATGTAGTGTCAACAAAAATCCTGCTGATTTTAGCTTGCCGGAAGCAGGAAATATATACATGATTGGAGCTGAAGACTTCAGTTTTGGACGAGCTCTTCATTCTAAGAACAGACAGAGCTCTATGAATTTCAACGGCTTCAAACGGCAGAGGAGTGTGTGGCATAATACCGAAAAACTACATGGAACGAATCAGCACAAATAATTCTTGTGGAATCCCTTCCTGGTATTGACTTGAAACCTCTTACTACTCTCAATCCATTGCTTTTATTTTCTCAATCTAAGTCAGGCTTCAAGCATTTGTCAGTCTACTCTTGTTTCTTTCAGGTAAAATCCTTGGTTATCACTTGAGAGCGCCATTTCTTAATCCGACTATTTTAAAGGATCACTTGGAATCTTAACTGAGTTTCAGACAAGCTTATCTCCAACTTGAAGCTGCATACAAAAGCCGTGCTTGGCACGAGATGGTATCGGTGCACGGTCTTAAAAATTTTCTTGTACTACGTCTATGAAGGATTCAGGTAATGCTGTAAATTGTTGTATTCCTAAATATATGGCGCCCTGAACACTGCCATTGTAAGGCTTGCACCAACTTTTTGGTCTGAATATCACTGACCAAAAATTAGAACTGAAGAAAGAAAGAACACTGCTAACTAACTATCAGTATATAAAGGGCAACCTCAAGGAATTTACTAATAATTAGCTGGTTTCTGTTGAATCCTTCAGTTGTATTACCAGTACTTTTCTTGGAGATACTAGTTTTCCCTCATCTGTAGTTATGTTGCTTTAAATTTGGAACATGGTTTATCAAACATATTTCTTAAAAACAATGAGTAACGGGAACAGGAAACGATAATGTTACCAAATATGCTTTAATTTTCCTGAACTCGAGCAGCTCAATATGATACCTCTCTCTGGGATCTTCTAGGCTTTATCGAGAAGGAAGAATGTTTGAAGCCATTGAATTTCGAAAGTTCTTGTATTTGGGTCTGACTGTAGTCTTTAATCGTCTATTTTCAAACTCCATTACAGATTTGTTACATGTTATTTAGATCTTAAGTTTATATGATGTCAGGTAAGGATTTTATTTTATTTTATTGAAAAAAGGTAGGGATTTTATTAGCATACAGTATGAAAATTTAATGAATCAAAATCATTTTTTAATGTAAAGTTCAAGAGATAAAAAATTTATTTTATCTGATTAATAAATACCAATCTAATAAGAAACAAGTTATCACTACCCCTAGGAATCATATACTTGTGTTGTGTAACAAAGATTTATATGATAATTCGAACTCAACCTTATTGACTAGAAATGATATTATCTACCTTATAATTAGTTCGGTGTTTAATTCATGAGTTATATATACAGTCTTGAAGCGTTTTTTTTTTTTTTTACTCAGTCTTAATAAAAGAATTATTTAAAAAAAAAAACTTCGTTCAATTGGTCAAGAAATGTCTGCAGTCCTTAGACCTCCATCCTCCTCTACACAAATTCAAGCTACATAACCTCACACAGTACAAATTAATGAAGTCTATTTGCTTTGATTAAAACATAATATACTTTTTGGGGAAATTGAAACTTAAAAATTTAAAAGAAATTACGATTATTTGAATTATACAATATGCTGAATTGATGACACCTTTGATGGGCGCAGAATTTAATGTGGGAGTTATATTTACAATTCGAAAGAAACTGGAGAGCGAATGAACTGAAGAGATTTAAGAACTTCCAAATTAATAAAACAAAAACCTTATATGTATGTTATTACAAAAACAAACGTAAAATCGAAATTTTAAAGACTAGCAAGTCACTGTCCATCTATAATCGAAGCAATTAATTTATAAATCTAAGCAAAAATAATGATGATGATGAACTTTCAACCTCAACAGAAAGAAGATGGCTAAAGCTTGGCATGCCTAAACTAAGAGGTACATGAAGGATTTTGTAAACAATCATGAAATGAAAATTAGTTTATCCGAGAGGGAGGGAAAGTAAAAGGAGAGGGTGTGTTAGGAGCTGTAGTAAGCAGAACTAGAGATCTCACTTCACTTCCATTTATCTTGAAGCTCTTTCCTCTCAGATAAACCCCACGTTACAAAGATGGCCACCACAAGAGCGACGATAGTTAAGAGAAGTAGAGCGTAGCTGAAATCTTCGGTTAGCGAATCATACGTCCTAGAGGGTGTAATCCGAGTAAAGAAGAGATCCACTCCATATGCAAATGCAAGGGTTGTCGACTCCAACTTGGCTGGCAAGGTCACGACGCCTCGAAGGCCTTCAACTTGAAGGGCGTGTGTTGCGTAGGTCTGCACAAATGCCAACCAGTTCAAAACCAATGATGTCAGCTTATAAAAGAGAGGTAAATTCTCTACAGATTATCACAATTCACAACTAGCCCACATTGGGTTTCCAACTACATTGTCAATTCAAGGATTTCTATCTTCAAGTTTAAATGTTAATATCCTAATGTCGTATACTATCTAAAAGTAATTTGTGGATTATGAATTTAGCAGTATCTCATCAGTCCCGAGATTTGATTGGCAAAACAGTTGGCATTCCCCAATGATTTGAACCCACAAAAACTATTGCCAAAAAATAAGTTCTCCAATTCATTGGTTGTTTCATTTATGAAAACAAAACCGCAAGGAAAAAATATTTTTACAGGGGAAAAAATGCTGACAAACACACCTGAGGAATGATAGGCAAGGAATCTGTAAGAGGTATAACGCCTTCTTCTCTCTCAGCTTGTGAGGGGTTGATAGATCGCCGAGGATCCAAGTAACGTTTGTCAAGAGCCAAAATCTGCAACGACTCACATTTAATTTAACACACCCCTCAAATAGGTTTATAAAAGAGGGAACAGAGAACAAGCAGTAAAGCATTTTAGAAGTCCACCTGATCGTTTATTGTACCAATCAGAAGCTGCTTCGATGTTATGCCCTTAGATGTTGACGTAACTGATATTGCTTTCACAGAATGAGTGAAGAAGTATGATTGTGATTTAGCCAAAATTTCAGGTCGAGAATATGAAGAAATTGGAGAAGTCAGGTTATGCTTTCCAAGAATAAGTTTCCAAACATCTATATTGTCCTGCAAAATATATTGACTCAGATAATGTGAGCCTACATGGGGCAGCAATCATGTAACGTTGCACAAAAGAGTTTAGTACATTCACATACCGCACGAGATTGATCATAGATTTCGACAACTGACATCTCATATCTGTGTGCTTTAAGATTGAAGTAATGATAGACCACCCAGTTCTCACTAAAGACCTATATATAACATATAAATGCATGAGAAAAAATCGATCAATCCATGATGAAAAAGTGAGCAAGTAGATTGGGAACTTACAGCATGGACTGGACCTGTTGAACCATGATGGGTCATCCGATGTAATATACGACCATTTACAATGTCAATAAGATATACAACCAACCAGGAATCCTCTGGGGTAGTAGTTCCAATTTCACCACTGCTTTTTGGTGCAACAGTTGCCAAGAAGAGCAAATTTTTTGATATATACTTGTACATCACATCTTGGTCTGCTGCAACCTTTGCTTGCGTATGAACCACCTAGAATATACAAATTACATAAATATTATTTAAAAGGACTAAGAGGCATTAATTAAACGACCTCAACAAATTTGCCACGATACATGACAGGGGGTTTT